CACCAAACTTTGCGTACCGTACTTAAATAACATATCCGTATTTATTTATTTCTCCCAGTTATGTTTTTGTGTGCAGTGAGGAGTCTCAAACAGGCGTTTGTTAAATCATTTTAAGATTGGCTTTAATCAATGTTTGAAAATGAATTCTTCATATATGATAAATGAGTGCTAACCAAGCGGCAAACTCTGGGGAAGAGCCGGGACGCCAATGCGGAAGTGCCTCAAACTGCAGTTCATGTGGCCAGTAGGAGCAGTCTGCAGAAGGGAGCAATTTCCATAGACCCCAATGTTAAAATGCCCAACTTNGAAAATGAATTCTTCATATATGATAAATGAGAGATAACATTTTATTTATGGTATTATTTCCACATATTTCTCTCCATTCTTCCTTCTGCCAACGGTGTCGCAGTTTCTCGTCTCTCCCGTTTTTGTGCTTAGTGCGTACGCATGGGTTAGAGTTTGCGTGGAGGACCGCACGTTTTCCCGTCAAGTTAGTATTTTATAAATCGCAAACATTGCGTAGAAACTGCCGTACGCCATTTTTTGAGCGTATATCCCTTTATAAATGAGGCCCCATAGTACCTGATACCACTGGTTATAATGTGTGCCTTTCAGACGGCTGTGGCTGATGACTGCACTGATTGTGAGAAGCTGTCTCTTGTCAGAGGCTGGTTTAGAGCCGTGTGGTACCAAAGCCACCTCATGAATGAGTGATGGAGCACTGCTCCTGGAAGGCCTGCACTGGAGTGTGACTCCGTTTATCTGGAAAGATGTGGAGGGGGGTCGGGGGTGGGAATGCACTCGGTATCAAATATTAACTATGATACTCGCTGGACCGGGGCATAGCAGAGGGTTTGTTTGGCCGATCCATTACAGCTGGCTCAATGAGTGAGAGAGTGAGTGATTGGGGGGTGAATGGAGCGGAGAGATGGAGGGGAAAACAGTGAGGCATGGAGTGGGGTATAAACATGGAGGAAAATAATGTATTTAGGGAGAGGTAAATATGAGAGGAAGATGGAGACAGTATACATCCTGTCAGCATTGTTTTTACCTCCATTACCGAGTAAAGAAAATGTTTTATATAATTTAGTATTTTTGGACCTCTTTACTTTAATTTTTTCCTTTAACTGTTTTCATGTCAATTTATGTCTTTGGTAGTTAATTATCTAATTTAGCAGTGATGTAATGTTTTTATTTCTGTCAGTGGTTTTGGGTTGTTTCTTCTGTGTGTTTTCTTCACACTGTGCTAGTGAATATGGGACACAAGATAAAGACAATTGGGGGGGGATGTGTGTGTATTCCCAAACATCAGACAGTATTTGGTATTGAAGCAGGTAACCAGAGCCCCAGGCGGCGCTGTGTGTCTGGAGACTGATTGCTCTACACAGCCCTGTGGAACATGTGCTGACAGCTGAAACTGAAGTTCAGAACTACAGGGTTTTCTCACACTCACACCAACGTTTAAAGCCCTGATCATTTGAACCCAATGTTGCTAAGAAAGTCATCTGTCCTACCCTGCAGGGATCAACCCAAGCCCCCAGGAAGTGCACCTGACACTGAAGCAAATTATGTTTGTTGTGCCCAAACGGTGGTAATATAACTTTTGCGTCACTCTCAACTCAACTCAACTTTATTTATAAAGCCCTTTTCAAAACAGCCGGAGCTGAAACAAAGTGCTGTACACGCCATAAAAAACAAAAACAAAACAACAATAACAATAAATAACAATATAAAAACAACAAAACCAATGAAGCATATAAAAACAAACAGAAACAGAGTCTCATGCTGGGTTAAAAGCCAAGGAATAAAAATGGGTTTTTAGGCGAGTTTTAAAAAGGCCCGACTTCATAAGGCCCAAAAATAGTTTTCCCCATTGACAAACATGAGGAAAGAGACATCTGTACTGTAAATCAGATTATTTTGTTGTTAAATCTACTACCCAGTCTAGATAGCCCTTATTTAAATCGTTAAGGCTTAACGGTTGTATAATGCGCTAAAAGCTGAATCCAGAGTTATTTCCCCCCATCGCCGACGTTGTATCCAGTTCTTTTTATACATCCACCAATTAACCAGACTGGTTGATGGACACACTAAATGTGTTACTATTTAAGCATGTTTCAATCACAAAGAACCCCAAATATGCAGGATCTAGCATCACAGACTTATATTTCAACTTCTCTTAAATTATAGTAAGTTCAAAATCGGTGTGTTGTTGGGAGGTTGGAAATGAGTCATATTGCAACCATGTGTATTATGTTCTGACCCTTTCTTGGAGTCATGATTTCTTGATTTACCAAATATTTCCGTTTCATTCTCCCCTGTCTCTATGGCGATAAGCTGTGATGCAGTTAAGCTTTTTAATCTTTCTTTCCATAGATCCAGACATTTTGGAAATCAGTTCAAATCATTTTAAACAAATTATTTCTGTGGAACAATAATGTATTTTTTTCTTTTCAAGAACAAAAAGTGTGTATCATTGGGGCCTAAAAAAGGTGTTGCATTGTCTTGCTCATAAATAATTGGCAGAGTTGAATTATGAATATTCTGAAACATGCATTGTTTGTCAGCCTACAGTCTGATTCATTTCCTTTGTTGCCACATTTCAAAACAATGTATGACTGACATGCAGAAGATAAAATTGAGTTACCAGATCACCTTGCTTTGGCCTTATGGCAAAACTTATATTTAATGTATGTAAAAATATACAATGTATATTATTAAATACATCTATTTCTTTATTTTTAAGATGAATCGCTCTTCAAAACATGTCAGATACTAGAGAAAATGTTTTTAAAAGTATTGGAGAAATAGGAAACAATGTTGGATGGTGGTCCTGTGTGACCGACTGATGCTGACTCTGCTATTGTGTCCTCCAGAGATGGGCAGTGAGTTGCCGGGGACCGTCGCCATGCCGGGGGCCGTTGGAGCCGGTCAGGTGAGGATGGGAGGAGCTGTGCCAGGCCGCGGGGGGAAGAGGAGGTCAGGAGGGTGAGTACCTGCTCCAGAGAGTAACCACTACATATACTGTACATCGTTACAGCAAGAGGTTTAAATATTTTTAAAGCAGAGTCTCAAAATAACAGCTGACAGTTCCCAGGAGACAACAGATGTTTGTGGGTCCCCTTTCACACTGGCTAGTAACATCTGCCTCAAAGAGTGTCTACACAGTGTGCATGGCATCTTATGGAACCACATGGAGAAAAAGCACAGCAGCGTCTTTTCCGAGCGCTCTGCAGCAGTTATGACTGGTTTGATTTGAAAACATTGCACATTTTCAGAAAAGCGTCTTTGACCGTCTCCCTGAGATCTTCTGTTTGGTTGTATTAGTGAAAAAAAAAAAAAACTTAAAATTAGTATTTAAGGTCTGGCTGCTGACCCAGTAGTTTGTTCATATTCTGATCAGGCAATTATTGGGTTTTAAACAGTGTTTATTCTTGAAAGGCACAACATCTACCTTTGCTATGCTCCATGTAACTGCCGACCAGCCTTTCATCAATTTACAAATCATAGCTCTTTTAATAAGCTTAGCGGCTTTGTTGACTCTATTGTTCAAAGCATCTGGGAGCATACCGGTTATTTATTAACCAAACATCGTTCTTTTATTCAGTAACCACTCACTGTTTATTGGGGGAACAGAGTTTTCAGTTTTTTTATATTTCCAGGCTTGCCACAGAAATAGCACTTGGGTTAAAAAAAAACAAGAAGTTCTATAAGGGAAATAGTAATTTCAATTATATAACAGATTGTGTAACCATAGTGTTTAAGTGTAGGTGGAGACGTTTTTATGTTTTGCTTTTCTTTCCCTCCTCCTCGGTCATTTGCTGTCTTGCATCGACTATTCAGCACAGGGGAAATTCTGCACAATGTATAAAAACAAAACATGTTGCAGGGTAATGCATATTAATGCATTATGATAGAACAACTAGAACATTTCAGAAAATTAAAGCGATATACAGTATATACTAAAATCTAAGAGTGTCATATCATAGTATTGGTATAATATCCATATACTGCCTAACAAGTAGGTGCTGTCTCACTATTTCTCTGCCTCTCTCACTAGCACACCGGCTGTTTTATTGATTTGCTGAAAGATGGTGGGGCCATAAGTGTTGTTGATTTGCGACCATTAATAAAAAGAATATATGTTTAGCAGAAAAGGCTGAAAGAGTCATTTAGTATTGTGACATGAAATATATGTTCAGCAGCGGTTTACATTACTGCTGCTGTCTGAAACGTCCCATCATTAAACATAGGGACATAACTAAAGCACCCTGCATCACACACAGCTAAAGTACAACACACTAATCTTTATTTTCATGAGATCACTGCACTTGATATATACGTATATGTTCTGGTGAACTTCTTATCTTCACTGCCTCCATGATAGCTAACCTGAGCTGACGATACTTAACCTGTAAAGCATCTTCTGTTGTGACGTATGGAGAGATGTCTTTGTGGGTGCTGTTCACAGATAAATGATTGTTTTAATGATCACCATCTTCTCCTAATTGATCCCAGTAACTGGGTTCTTCGTGAAGGGGCCATACAGTGCAGACACAGGGCCGGGCCCCATCGCTTCAATATGATATGTATATAGGAATGATTTAGACAAACACATTAATACAACATCTTTTAAAGAACAATTAGATTATTAATTAAAAAAATATTTTGATTCATGTTTTGGTCCTTTAAACTCCATTTTGTTCTCTTGTAGATGGCAGGGAATACCATCAAATACTTAGTATTTGAGATAAGATAAGATGTACTTTACTGATCCTAAATTAGGAAAAAGGATTTGTCATGGCAAGGCATTGCACATAATTTGAAAAAATAAAAAGGGTAGAAAATAAACAAATACAAACATTTTAAAACAGAAAATAAAACGGAACTAAAAAGAAAATATAGTTGACTGTGACCATGAAAACCTGCATAATGATAGACTTAAATAATGAATCACTTTTTTGTTGCTTTAGTTCATTTTTTGACTATTCAATGACTTGAGCATTTTAGTTTTAGCTCTAATTTAAGGATTTTTTTCTGCCCCCTACCAACAATGATGTGTCCTTTCTGAATGTTGGGTAAACATTAGCTCTTCATCCTCTCCTTATTAAATAATAATGCTTTTTCTGTCATTTTAAAAACGAAAGGAAAATAAGCAATGTGACAGCTCGATGCATTTAACCTGTACACAGCATTAGGCCTGCATACACATTAATTAATAATACAGGTTCTTGGCAATACGCCAAATAAACTTGGCTCAGCGAGGCTACAGGGACTGTTATTGTCTACGTCAATGATGCTTTATTTATTAAGGTGTGTGTGTGTTTGTGTAGTAGAGGCAGGATGTAGTTCAGTAAGAGGATCCAAAGTCAACAACAGACACATTGATCCTCTCCTCAGCCCCTGATGCTGCCACGATGCATGAAGCCCCCAGCTTGATGGAGCATACCAAACAGCATACTGTGTGTGTAGACGCAAATATCCAGAGGGAAGTGCTTAGAAGAAAGATCTGTGCGATAGCGAGGTATGCTGGGCCTAATGTTAGTTTTGAATATTAAAAAAGGTGGCTTTTAAACTGGTAAGATCGCCATGGTTACCCAGGCAAAACGCTTAACATGGCCAAGAACAAGTTATCTTTAGAGTTTTGGTTCGTAATTGGCTATAAAAAGCTTATTTGAACAATCAACTGCTTTGGAAAAAGCCATTGACTGTAACCATATTTCCCCTTATGCTTCACCTGCTCCAGGGAGCTCACATTATTATGTGTTGGTACTCCCGGAAGGAAAGTTGTTTCCATTACTTTGCATAGCGTCCCCATCTTTATCAACCTTTACTTGCCAAAGAAACTGCTTTTAAGCTTTTGAATGAATTGTTGTTAAGTTATAACCCCTTTTTAAGGCGAGAAACTAACTAAATTTAGAATACCAATATGTGATTAGTTTATCCCATTTTTGGGAGTTTACAGGGATGTTTGAAGCTGCTGGCTGTATGAGAGCAGCTGATCAGCTTATCAATAGCACATATCAACAATGTTTTTGGAATTACCCTGACTGGCTGAACGGTAGACGCGAGTCTGCACTTCATGTGTAGACAGATCCGTTGGCTTTTCCTGACCATATTCTCTATGATCAATATGGATGATCAGCTCAGGAAATACCTAATATATGCAAACCTGTTTTGTTAAACCGTCAAATCAATAATGACACTGAATAAAACCTTGCAATTACAACAAGTGCGCAATAATCATCACTTGTTGCCCATTTATTGAATCTCTTTATTTTTCTTTGATCAGTGGAGCTGAGCAATTTAAAACCGAGGTGTAGAAACAGGATGTGATGCGCAGCACTCTGACACTCTACTCTGCCTTCCCTTTATATCACCTTTAATCTTTCCCTCAGGCTTTCTGACAAGTCCTTTTAGGAGACTATGTTTGTACATATTGGTAATTATACTGCAATGCCAATAGTACATTGTCTACATATGTATGTATGCTAACTCCTGTCGTAGGTGTATGTTTTGAAACTGTAAACTCACTGTGAGATGAGCATTCTTTCAAACTGATTTCTACTGCCTGGAAAGTGATTAGACATATTAGAAATCACCGTCAGTTTGACCATGAGAGGGCGCTGTGAGTCTATCAGAAGTAGTGATTGTGTTTCCTGTGATTGTTTCCCAGAATGGACTTTGACGATGAAGACGGAGAGGGACCGAGCAAATTCTCAAGGTAAGAACAGTGAGAGCAGGTAGCAACGGTCCTGTGAGAAATGTTCTAGAACAGTGTGTCTCAAACTTTTTCATACCAAGGACCACTTAACCAATAAAAAAACACTCGCGGACCACCTAACTCCACAAATATCCCAAAACACATCGTTTCTCTAGAACAGATTACAAATCGGCTGAAAAGGGTACAAACAAGTGGCAACATGTGTGATGAAGGTGTTTCACTGGGCTATATCATGCAATCGAAAGTTAAACTTAACCTCGCTCCATTGCGGAGATATTCCCGCGAGAGTGCGGAAAACTAACATTTATTTATTTATTTCAAATGTGAAATTTTAACAATATATTCACGGACCAGTCGGGGGCGCTCAAGGACCACCAGTGGTTCGCGGACCACACTGTTCTAGAACTACTTCACAAAAATAATAAAATCTGATAAATTAGAGTTGTTTAAATTAGCAAATTTAAGTTGTTCGATCTCATTTTTAGTACACTGAAATTCAAATGAAGTGTGTACTAAAGCAGGGGTTCCCAAACTTTTCAGCCCGCGACCCCCAAAACAACAGTGCCAGAGACTGGCGACCCCCTGTCGACGGGGGGGGGGGGTGTGTGTGTGTGTGCTTGGTATGAAAAAGTTGAGGGAGCCTCGTTGCGGGGAAATTATACAGATGGCTAGTCCGCCCCTGAAAATGTCTATGCAAACGTTATTATTAAAAATTAGTTTTTAAATTATAACAAAAATTATTATTATTTTTTTAAATTTTTATTTTGTAATCATCTCGCGACCCCCACTTTGGGAACCCCTGTACTAAAGTATACATGCACTTTAGTTTTTAACATTGTCTGTTACATGGACACATCATGGCTTACTTTTTGTTTTGTCTTTTTTTGAGAGGGATTCAAGTCTCTATCTGCCAATGCATATCAACCTTCAACTCACTTATCATTTATTTCCTTTTCTTCTTTCTCATAGTGTAGTGTGTATGTCTGTAAGATGTGCAGTAAGTAAAGACCTTTGTTCTGCTAAGTTGAGCGTTGCCAGTAGAGGAGGAGGAGCTGCCCTCTGCTGCAGAAATACTACAATACTGCTTCCCTTAACCAACAGCTCTAGTTCACTGTGATGGAACATTCTCAAATCCTTTACTTAAGTAAAACTAGAAACACTGTGGTCTTAAAATATGTCCTGAGTTTAAATGTGACTTAAGTAAAAGTACACACGTTTTCTGAGCAAAATGTACTCAAGTATCAAAAGTAAAAGTGCTCTGTATTCAAATGGCTCTTTTTAAAAAGTTTTATATTATTATAGAATATAACATCATCCTGTTTGTATCACTAATAATCACTGTGGAATGAATTTTGGATGCTTTTTGTTCTACAAAGTAAATGTATGCATTAACATGATGAATTTATACTATATATATATATATATAGTATAAATTCATCATGTTATTAATGCAAATAGCATGTTGTAAAAAGTAGCTAATAAATAAATACACAATTGCATTATCATTGCACCTGTTACACCGGCCATGTTTTTACCATCAAGCATTAACCATTGAGTCTGACATTATGTTGTGACCATCAGTGCATTTGAGGAGTACTGATAGTAAAGCTGCTTCATGATGTCTTTACACTGTGTGTACGATGAGTTACATGTGCGGTCCTCTCTTCTCTGCAGGTATGATGATGATGATCAGGGGCCGTATTCACAAAGGATTTTAGGGCTAAAAGTAGCTCCTAACTGGCGAATTTAGGAGAAACTCCTAAGCATAATGGGCGTGTCAGTCTTAAATTTAGGACTCCTAATTTTATTCACTAAGAGCAATTGACAAAGTATTTTAAGCCTAAAAGTAGCACCTAAGTCTGGGAGAGCTTAAAAGTCCTCGAGAGGACTCCTAACTCAGTAAGACCTATTCACAAAGAATCTGAAAATGGCTGAGAGACGAAATGTTTTGGAGACAATGGAAGACTGTGAATTGATCAAGAGATATAGGCTAAATCGTGAGGGTATCAAACTTGTTGTGGAATTAGTGCGGGATGCAATAACATCCCCGACTAACAGGAATAACCCGATTAGTCCGGAAATAAAATGTTTGGCAACACTACGATATTTAGCAACAGGGAAAATGCAACTTTGCAATGCCGACGATTTAGGAATATCGCAACCATCAGTCAGCTGTGCCATAAACCAAACCATCAACGCGCTCTCTAGACCACATATCATCCAACAGTTTATCCGGTTTCCTTTGGACAATCAACAACTACACAGGATCAAAGCCAACTTCATGGCAATTGCATGTATGCCCGGTGTGGTCGGTGCTATTGACATAAAAATAATTGCGCCATCAAAAG